ATTTGAAGTATGTATATGTCAAAAGTTAAATTTAATGAAATATTTCTTTGTATTCTTTTAAATGAGTTCTCAATTCACACCTTTCCACGGATAACAGCATAATAAAACAAACATTAGAAGTGAAATATGCCGCACTTGGTAAACTTAATATAGAGTATGTTGTCTATCTATTCTTCAAGTTTGATATGATCGTTGACACATTGAATATAAGCAAAACATATCTTATTCTTTTGCTAAGATGTTAAATAACTGTAAGAGTATTTTCTAAAATGCTTGTAGATATAAATAAAGTATGAAACGTAGATGAGGAATTTCATTTAGTATTTGTATTCATTCTTTCAGTACAATAATCAAATGCCATTGAGCAAAAATTAGCTCCTCTTTTGGTTGCATACTAAACTATTCTAGAGAGGGTGTAGGTGCAGAATAAAGGATGCATAATACATAACCACACCATCCCATCCGTTCGTCGAAGCTCTTCAAAATTACATATATATCACTAGGAATTTATCTAAAGAAAGATTCAATGCGAAAAAAAATAATCGACTCATAATAAAAGGCATATATCATCTACATAAGGGTGGAGTGTGGGTGTGGGTCTTCATCTAACTCTAAGTCACCCACATCCACACCCACACCCACACCCACACACCCACCCACACCCATACCCACACCCACACCCACCCCCACACCCACACCCATACCCGTCATACCCACACCCGACCAATACACTCACACCCAAAGAGACTCGGCATTCGAAGGTTTGCTTTGTCATACATTCTGATGGGCAACATGAGGAGCGGTTGGCGTTATTGGTCGAAATGAAGCAACGGAGCTCAAAGAACGAAGTCATCGCCACGAATTCGTCTTGACATTGCCATTGGCAAAACAAACCGATGATCACATAGCTCCACACTTATGGGTTCACAACGAAACGGAACGAATCTCTGTCAATATTTGCTGTACCTATGTGCTCCGTCGTCGCTCATGGATTCAAAGCATGTCGTTCTCGCTTGTCACATTAGCACTTCATTTGCTAAGTCAAAAACAACACTGTGGGCTAAATTAGATTTATCGAAGGTGCACTGCTAGACTATGGAATTGTCGAGTAAACTTCCTCATAAAAGACTCTGTCAGGTATAGTTCTCTTGGAATTTCGAAAATCGTTCGCTTTCTGAATCTATCCTGCAGAACTTCTTAAGTTTGATTAGTTTTGTTTTAATTTAGACTTTCACGATTATGTTTTGATTCACTTTCAAGTCACATTTACCAAAAGACAGAAAGAAAAACAGTTACAATTCATCAATTATTGTTTTAAAAAAGTTCAATCTACACTCGAATACAAATATAATTAGGTAAGTTGAGTTTGTAGATCATTCTCGCTTCTCATTGTTCGTGTTACGTATGTCTGTAGTTAAAATCGAATATTTCACTATAAAATGGTTTAGGATGGAGAAGAACACCAGTATAATGAAGAACAGTGGCAACCATGGGTACAGGCAGCATACTATTCTTATTCACTGAAACTGTTCGAAATTCATGTTCGAGTAGTGCGTTCACGCCCATATCGACGAATAAATTTTCATAATTACCTTCGGGCAAATTGGGAATCAGTATGAGTTGCTCATTGTTGGCTTCTTGTGTCACATTGAACACTCCGATGAGACCTTCACAGGTTGATGCAACCTCCCATATGACCACAATACATGGGCTATAATGGGCCAACGTTAATCTAAGAAAAGAATCCAGAATAATGTTCAGATCACATCTAGACTTCACTTCTCTGACCTGGTTCCTTTAGCGTCGATCACCGGATGTTTCTTGATTTGTATCAGCTTGCGTGTAAACTCTTCAAGTGAACGTCCTTCTCTACAGTCAACCCAATCTTTTTCGAACAGAGATGAAAGTTTTATTTGTTCCGTTTCTTGACCAGCGTTTACCAAGAAGCATCCTTTGTTGAATGCACTAAAAGCTACAGAAAAAAAAAGATATCTATAGAAGACTTTTGAAAACACTCTCCTCTCGTTCGTAGATGCTTCAGTGGTTGTTGATTAAAATTCATTTTTTTTGTCAAAAAAAGGTGAGAACCATCCTCGAGATGATGCGCTGAAATCTTCTTCTGCGTATAAGTGCATCTCGTTTTTAGTACTCTTGTTCATTACTACAGCGAACCGTGAACCACGAAATATATGAGAAAATTATCTAGTCTACAAAACGCTCGTAGTATGCACTGCTAGATGAGTTTAGCTAGTTTTTTCGTATTCAAAAGGTAAAATCGTTGAGGACAATATGCTCGATAATAAGCTGTTGTAAAAAAATATATCTACTCCAAAAATTAATAGATTATTATTCACGTGTTCAAATAGAAATGTACAGTTCTAGTTTCTTTACTTAACATCAGTATCGTTGGTCAACGTGTGAAATTATTGAGAGAATCTTTTTCTCCACTGACCAGTCTTAGATGGATCTGTCATCATAGATCTTCGCTTATGCAGAAAATTCTCAAAACGTACGTCTGGAGAGGCCATTTTGAACAGAATAAACTGAAACAGGTACTGCTGACTCGGACAAGTATTGCGTATAGAACGAGGCCGAGACAAACCGATAAAAAGACTTCCATGAAATCGTTTCATTTTTAGGAATATTCTCAAAATGAAAGTGCATAAAGGGTACACCAGAAAAATGTTTCTCTTACTATTCTTTTAACACTTAGCTTAACCTTCATTGTGTAGACTTCTGTTCCTTCCAAAAGAAGTGTCACCAAATTTTCTGAAGAAATTTCAAATGCTATATCGATAGCTGAATACTAAACAAATATCGAAGGATCGTTTTTCGAAACTGAAAAGCTAATTTTAACGAAGTTTTTATTGATCAGTAACATTAAAAATAAAATAGAAGGTCCGACTATTTTCATCAAATTTTAGTTATTTTACTTAGAATTTCGGAGAATCAAATTTTTCGATCTTCAATTGAATTTGAACAAACTTTGAGTTGAATTGCGAGAAGGAAAACAGTTTAAATTCTTCATATTTCTTTCACTGTTTGCTGTAGTGTAAAAATTATTATCTAATTTATTTGTAGAAACCGGCCTGAAACTCGATCTTTTCGTATTTGTTAAGTATTGACTTATACTTTCGAAAGACTCAAGCCTACACTGAAAAAAAATGGTACGCTGCGGAACTTATGAGGTTTTGTGGAACTTTGCCATACCTTTAAAAGTATCGCACAAATGCACGAAACCACTTTAAGATGTCGAAGTATCTCACGTTTTGTTTAAGGCCATTAGGGGTATTTCTACCCGAAAAAAGTTTCGTATTATACCCTCTAAAAGTATCGTAGCAAAGAGGTTTTGCACCAGACTACTTTTGCTTCGTCTCAACCATTATAGAGACATATGTTCATGAATTAGCAATTCAACTGATTCGACTCCTTTCTTCTGCTTATCTATTTAGATTCATTCTACAATCGAGTATGCATGTTAAATGATTGCTTCTGGGCTTTTTTCTTGCGCACAAGAAGTTTATTATTGGACTAATAGAGAGTGTTTCAGTTGTGTAACAATCACATCTCTTTCTTCCCTAAATCTTTGGGCGGTTTAAAATTTCACCGAAAGAATCGTAGCATTCGAGATCGACTATATTTTTCACGCAGCTAAATTAACCTAGACTTCTAGTAGCTTTACATATCCATCCATATTAATAAGAAAGTAAAAGATAGAGATCATGTATTTCGGTGGTAGTGACGATTAATGGCTCTCTTATGTAATAATGTGCCCCTCTCTTACTAATTGGCTTAGGATTAAATAAATTCAAAGCCCATGCAATTTTTGGAGTTCCGAAATTTCGTCAATAAGACTGTCACTAATAGGCGAAAATCCAGAGGATATGTTGGTGAAAGCATAGTGGACTTACGTCAACCGGTGAAATTCCACGGGGTATATTGGCGAGTGTCCACATGACTTTCGCTATTGGTGAATGCCCATTCGACGAAATTTGGGTAACTCATTCAAATCGTAAGTGATCATTCGAATTCGAAAACGTTATCTGTTTCGTTTTTTTTTATATTTTAAGTTCACTTCGACCTTATTCATATAGTAAGTGATGCTTCGAATAAGAAAACATTATCGACTTCTTTCTTTATGTTTTAGATTCACTTGCATCTTATTCAAATGATAAGTTGTATTTCATCGGATGAGACCTAGCAAGATCTCTGGTTTTGGTGGTTTTCTGAGATTAGCTTGCTGTCGAAATGCGTTCTTTTGCTGGAGAGCGACCTTCTCTCATTGCGTTGCTGCTGTCGGGAGCTTGGAAACCTTCTATTGGTTTGTGAGATTGGTACCCCAGAAAATTCTGCAAGGAATGATACCAGTTTCCGCGACCTCAGAAATCCTGCTCGAGTTTTTCAAAAAAGGGATTTTCTTACACAGTAGATGAGCATAGTAATGCATAAAGAGAGCCAGCGGTGTTCTATTTGAATGCCGTCGAAATTTTGATTATGAAACCGTTTTGACGTGAGCTAACAATAGTTTTGTACGAAACCATATTTTTACGAAACTTTAAAAATATTTCAAATTCGTTGCAAAATTCGGAACCTTTTTTTTTTAGTGTACACAGTGAAGGTTGAGAGTGATGCTAAACAATCACTGAAATAGACATGTAATCTAGCACACCTGCTATATTTCATTCAGTTTTGACTTTTGATTCAGAAGAATCCTATTTCTCTCTCTACTGAAAACATGATCTTTTTTAAATTGTGCTTTGACTGAGGAATCTCTACTATTGCAAACGCTGAGGCTGCCGCAGTTCGACTTTGCTAATCTTCCTTTGATGACTTGTCATCACCTCATAAGAAGCAGCTAACTTTTGTATAATATTAGTGCTATTTAATGTTTCTTTTGAAAATAACTTGTGTTTGCTCTTGAAGCGATAGAAATAGGACACTTTTTATCAAAATGAAGAGTTACTTTCAAAAGTAACATTCTTTTACCACCCCCTGTAGAATCAATATTTGATAAATCTCAAGTGACCTGTCCATGCCAGTGCTTTCCATGGATTGTCTCGACAGATGTGCGCAATTCGATCTTGATCATGGTTTTCAACAAATCTCATTTTGATAAAGTCTTTTGGATAAATGAATGTTTGAAGACGAACAAGTTCGAGATAGGATTTGATCGGAATGGCCTCTTGCACTGCAGCGCGCCACGCCACATACAGATCATAGTCATAACATACATCAAATGTTTCATAAAGTTCTGCATCTGTATGGACTAACCCGTTTTGATCACGATAACTTTTCATAGCACTAAACCAACTGGATTCAGCCAACCAAATACAACGAGGATTTGCTTCGGTCACGGAACGTCTAGCTTGTCGCCTGAATAACAAAAGAAATATTCGCAAAAACAAGTGCCAATTATATTCATCACCAGAATTCCATGGGAACACAAGAAGCAACATCCATGCGAAATCCATCAACACCATGTTCACACCAAAACTTGAGTATATCAATTAGTTCAGGCCATAATGTCGTTTCGTTTCCTTCGAACTTCAAATCCAAAATATCCGTCCATTGAGGAATTAGACAAATGGCATTGTCCTATAAAGAAAATGTTTAAATATTGAACGAGGCATATAAATGAAATCTAGACCTTTTCATCTCTTATATACCATTCTGGATGTTCTTTTACCCATGAACAATCATGGCTAGTATGTCGATAGACGATGTCTATCATGAGTTTCATACCTAGTCGATGAATTTCTGAAACTAAACGATGGAAGTCATTCATTGTACCATATTCTGGATTGATAGCACGAAAATCTTTTATTGAATACGGTGAACCAAGTGAGCCTTTGCGATTAGTTATACCAATCGGATGAATCGGTAAAAGCCATATAATATCAATTCCCATTCGGACGATACTAGATAAAGAAAATGTCTTGGTGAAGAACAAGCAAAAATAGATTTGAACAAACCGTTGAAGATCATTGATAACTCCTTGAAATGTACCACTTTCGGAATGATTTCTCGTATAGATACAGTAAATAGTCGAATTTTGAATGCCTTCATTGACCATGGCTATAGTTTGCACGTACAATAGATAAAGAAGTAAAAGGAAGAGGACTTTATGAGTAAATTATAGTGAATTTTCGGAAACGAACGAGTACATTGCGATGATGGAGATTGAGAGTAGTTCCTACACTATTATGACTATATCCTCAGATCAGATAGATGCCTTATCTGTTACAGACGTTGGCTAACATGATACGCCAATTCTTCCGATCTTGTGCTGCGTGAAGAAAGTCTATTTTCGCATAACCTTGTTTTTCAATCCATAGATTCACGTTTTCTAGATATTTGATTCTAGGTCGGCCTTTATCTTTCTTTCCATTGATTTTCCCACTCAATACCAGATGTTCTATGCAACCTTTACGGATTATGTGGCCAAGGAATTTTAGTTGCCTATAACGGATGGTATTGATTAAAAGTCTTTTCGATTTCGTTCTTTTTAGTATTGATTCGTTTGTTTCTCTAGCAGTCCAAGGTACATTAAGCATCCTTCTGAGAAACCACATTTCAGTAGCCTCTAAGCGTTTTTCCATTTCTTTACTGATTGTCCAACATTCGGAACCGTATAGCAGAATCGACCAAACGTAACATCTGAGTACTCTTGTTTTAGTGTCGATCGATAGGGTTCTATTTTTCAGAACTGGACTCATCTTTTGGAACGCTTGTTTAGAGAGAGCTATTCTCATTTTGATGTCTTCATCGCATCTACCATCTGAGGTTATGACGGATCCCAAATAATTGAAGCGATTTACTTGCTTGATTGATTCTCTATTTATGTAAACTTTGCATGTCGGTGTGATTTTATTCTTTGAAACACACATACATTCTGTTTTCTTGATATTGAGTGATAGTCCCATTTTTATGCTTTCTTTTGAGACTATATCAATCATTTTCTGTAGGTCTTGTTCATTACTTGCCAATAGTACGGTGTCGTCTGCATATCTTATATTATTACAATTTTTACCTCCAATTTTTATTCCTTCAACATCTTCTAGATTTCTAAGTATCATTTCATTATATATGTTGAAAAGATCTGGAGATAGAACACAACCTTGTCTGACACCTCTCTTTATACCTGTATAGTCACTAGTATCGTTATTTATTCGTATGGCAGCTTTTTGATCCCAATAAAGATTTCGAATTATTCGTAGTTCCTTGCCATCGATGTCGAGTTTTTCCAAAATTTGGAATAGACTGTCGTGTTTGACTTTATCAAAAGCTTTTGTGTAGTCAAGGAAACATAGGTATAGATCATGTTTGACTTCAATTGATCTTTCGATTATCGTTCGAAGGATGAAGATTGCATTTCTAGTGCCCTTATCAGGCATAAATCCATATTGTTCTTTTGCTATTTCTGGCGTGATCTTATTTTTCATACGCATCATCAGAATCTTAAGCAAAACTTTTGTGATATGACTCATGAGACTGATTGTACGATGTAATTCACATTCAGTAGCTCCAGGCTTCTTTGGAAGCGCTATGAATATTGATTTTGTTAGATCTTCCGGAATTTCACCTGTGTCATATATTTTGTTTATTAGTTTTGTCATGACATCTACACCTAGTTCATCGAGACATTGAATCATTTCGATGGATATTCCATCTGGCCCTGTCGCTTTGTTTGTTTTCATTGATTTTATGGCCAGTCTTACTTCATCTTTCATTATTGGAGGTCCTTCTATATTTTTCTTTATGTTAGGTTTAGAAGTTCTATTGTCGTCGAAGAGTTCCTCTATGTATTCTGTCCACCTGTTCAGTATGTCACCTTTTTCCATAAGAACGGTTCCATTTTTTGATTTGATACAACCTGAACTGGTGCATTTTGATTTTCCTGTTATTTCGTTAATCTTTTGATGAGCAAATTTGGTGTTTACACTCAGCTTGTTTTCGATCTCTGAGCATTGTTCGTTCAGCCATTTCTCTTTTGCTTCTGAACATTTCTTTTTGATTGCTTTGTCTATCAATTTGTATTCTTGGAGGTTTGACTTCTTCAGTCGTCTTTGCTCCATTAGTTGTAAAATTTCATTAGTCATCCATCGTTTCTTTTTCTTTAAATGTGTTTTAGGAATTACTTCTTCAGCAGATGTTATTATGAATGATTTCATCTGTTCCCACAATATCTCGGTTTCTGTGATTTCATCTAGTGCTTCAAAACGATTTTGTACTTTTATGCGGAATTTTTCTTTCAGATCTGGATCACTTTTCAGAATATGAACTTGAAGCTTTGTATTTCTTTGTGGTTGTTTTATTCTTTTTAATTTCACTCGAATTTTACTGATGACTGGGACATGATCGCTACCACAGTCTGCTCCAGGAAATGCTTTGGAGAAAATGATTGAATTCCTGAATCGATGAGGGACCATGATATAATCTATTTGATTTCTTGCCCGGTCTCCTGGGCTTCGCCATGTCCATAGTCTACGTGGGTGATTTTTAAACCATGTGTTTGTGATTGCGAGATTACGTGATTGGCACCAGGTTATCAAGTTATCTCCTCTGTCATTTTTGTTTCCTAGACCGAAGGGTCCTACTGTATTGCCAATTCTTTTATCTCCCACTTTTGCATTGAAATCACCCATTACGTAGATGATATCATCAGACTTGCATTGTTTGTAGGCTTTGTCTAGATCTTCATAGAAGCTCGTGATTGCATCATCATCATAATCAGCGGTTGGTGCGTAACATTGAATTAGTGAGATGTTGAAAGGTTTTCCGTAGAGTTTTACAAGAAGAACCCTGTCTGAAACCGCCCAAAAGCCTTGCAAACTCTTGGAGGTTTCTTTGTCAAGAAGCATTCCTACTCCTCTCTCGTGTTTGTCTCCTCCAGAGTATAATAAAAGAAAGTTATCCGTTGTAAAGGATCCAGCACCCAGCCATCTGACTTCAGATAAGCCTAACGCATTTACTTTCATCCGTTCCATTTCGTTCATTATATTGTCTAATTTTCCTTTCTGGAACATAGTTCTTACATTCCACGTTCCTATTTTGAGTGAGTTCTTGGTTGGGACAGTAGCCTGTTGACGATCGAGGGTCACCTGTCGTACATGACCACCTCTACCGAGCGAGATGTTCTCTCCGAGAACCCCCTTCACGCTGTTATCTTGTCTGGAAATCTTGACGTTTATCATGTTGTGCTTGGGAGTGTACAGCGGTGGTTTCCCCTTGCCTTCCGCCGGTTTAGAATGGTTTTCTCCATTTGATGAAATTGCTAGTCAAGGCTAGCGAGCTTCATCGACCCAGAATAAGGCTTATGAAATCTCGATTCGGGGGGAATCTTGTTTCTGGCGGCCTATACTCGCCCTGTCATCCTGTCGTCTTTGGGTTTCTGTGGCATTTTATAAGAGTTTCGGTTCCAATCAAAACCCCACCACACCCTGTTGGCAAGAAGGCTGAGTATTGTCCGGGACTGTTTATTTGATCAATCGCTTGATCTTATTCGCAGCTAACCATCGTACTAATGGTCGTTCCACTATCCGCAACCTGTGGACCCGCTTGGTAGCATCCAGCTTAGCCCCAAGGACTATATCCTACGAACTATAAACTAATGCCTATACCTTCATGAATATTTCTTGACATATAGGTATAGATACTGCAGAATCATTCACATTGAGTACTTTTAAGTATAGTAGATTGAGTTTTCAGATAACCAGTATCACAGATTTAGTTGAAATTTTCTACAATATTAAAATCACTCCTCACCATTGCGATGTCTTGTAAAAGGTTTGATGCCATATTAGTGGAAATCGATAGGCTTTGTGCGTGAAAGATAGTACATAGAAAAGCTATGCATCGTTGAAATGCGCTGATGTGCCACCTATTGATTGAGCTAGAGACTAATTCTCATACAAAATCGAATAATTTTCCTGACATAGCTGAAACTGTTCTAAACTAGGTTAAAATTGTATTCCGAGACACAAGAGAGTCATTTATTATTTTTTTTGGTAAAGGAATGCATATTATACTAACAAAACTGCCCTTATATCAGCACGAACATTTCATCAACAAGCAGTACGAAATCCGCAGTTGGCTGCTGACTCTACTTTTTGTGGAACTCACATATATTTTAGAAGAAAATAGTGAGTTTAAGTTTTAAGTTTTGGGTTTTTTGCGACTCTCCCACTCCTCCCCATTACAGACCTTAGTAATCCCCTTCAAGAAAATAATTGTTCGAAATTCAGACGTCAATAAGATAACGGTTTTCTGCAGAGATACACTGTATTCGAAAACAACTTTAGTTTAAGAGGAAATTTTTCACTATTCGTATTTTGTATTAGTTTAATGATAGTACAGAATTTACGTGAGTTCCACATTTCAGCCCCGAAGGAACTGCGCTAACAAGCTTTTAAAAGCACACTAAAGTGAAGTCCATATAGATCAGAATATGCAGAGAACGAGTTGTGACAATAGAGACACCAAATATGAAGAACGAATACTTATAGTTTGCGTTTGATGTAATAAAACCTTTATTGCTCCTGTTTGACCTAATGGCTCGATTTGTGTGCAAAGTAAATTACAAAAATATCATCGTACTCACTGTATCGCTTTCAGTTTAAATAAGATGTAAATTTTGATGATTGATGGTTAAATAACGAGCTTGCGATTAGTTTCCACTAATACAATACCAAACTTTGACAAGACATTGAAAGTACAAAGAGTGGCATTAATGTTGTCAGAAATTTTCTACAAAATCTTGGATATTGGTTATCTGAAAACTCAGTCGACTACACTAAAATAAACTCAATGCATAGGACTGTGTAGTATCTATATCCATATTTTAAATACCTTGGAATTCGAATATCTCAATCACGGTACTCCAATGGTAGCTCACAATCAAAATTTATA